AAGGAAAACCAGAGCAGGACTACAAGGAGAGATAAATATGATTTAGATTTTTGTTTCTGTGTCAGGAGATACAACATTAACATTTCACTCCTCTGCTTTACAGCAGCTCCTTTAATTCCACAGTTGACGCTGCTAAAAATGACCTTTTTTTCTGAATCTCCGAGAGCAGAACTTTAATCTCCGAACTCGTAAAGTTCTTTTTTACTTTGCAATGTCATTTATGAATGGACACATCCTGGTATGTCGGGCAGGAAACGTGTATCCTTATATGGTGTTTTTGGGCTGGTAGGTTATGCTAATCTCTCCTCGTGCATGAGCACCTGAACACGCATTCATCAGTTTACACTTCTGATTTGCACACTTTTCCTGAAGATAGAAGAGTTTGTTGAATCTGACGTGACATGTTCGTACGAACCCTTCGTACGAACAAAAGTAAGAGAAATTTAGGATAAGAATACGAAACATGTTCTTGCATGAGGCCCATTTTCTTTACCCATTTTTTCCTTTCTGATGGTGGACACCCTGAACAGATCCTAAGTCCATCACAGGGACATGTAGAGACAAACCACCATTCACACAGTAATATATAGTTTGATGTTTTTATTTTATTGCTTTTTTATACCTGAAGAGGAAAATTGACAGTAATTCCACAACTAAATTGTCTGTCACATTTGGTAGAAGAACTGCCTTTTTTACATGATTTTCCTGTAATCGTGATAACCAAACTAGTTTTGTTTCCTCAAAATTTAGGGTATTTATTAAAAAAACTTTTATTCTCAAGAGATAAAGGGATGGTTAACATGTAAAAATGAGTGTTTTCTYTGCTACACTCAGTGCCATTATTCAGTGTTGTTATGAAGACACTTGCAAATCAATTAACGCTCCATGAAATACACTGCCTGGCCAAAAGACTTCACTTGACTGAACTTCAGCTGTGGCACACCGACGTATAACCAGCCAGCAGACAAAAGTTTTTCGTTTCTCTATACTTTAACATTTTGCCTCTTCTATAAGTATTAAAAACTTATATTGCATTTCAGGGTGTCAAAAGTTTGTTGTAAAGGTTTATTTTAACTTTACCGTACTGAACATTTCAGCTGTTGTAATTAAACAGACGCATGCAAAAAAAAATGCATTCACATCCCTTTGTGAATTTTTCCCTGGATTGGATGTCTTCTTTCTGTTTAGTACACCACCTGTCTGCGCTGCCTTTGGACAATTTGTCGTTTAAAAGACTAATTTGTGAATCAGGTGTTGGTAGTCAGAGTCAACAGTCACCTGCAGACACAACGACCAGTCAAACCAGATCAACGTGACCAAAGAACTTTGACCCGCAATGTCACAGCTATGGCTCATCTCTCCCTTTTGAACCGGTCCATCATTAACCGGTCCATCATTATTTAGTTTTCCAAAGACTGAACAAATATTAGAGCTAAGAGTTCATTTGCTTGTTTCAGTTCATTAGTTTAATATTTGAGCAGCACTTTCATTTTCAAACATTTTTTCCTCTTTGGTAAAACTGGAGACAAATTTGTAGACTGCTTTGATGACTTTCTTTATTTTTTTAAGCTTTTAAAAACCCTGGGGTTCTTTTTACACCAACATAAATCCATGTATTTTTTTATTTCTAACAAGTTAATCAGTTTATGGGAAAAGCAGAATTAAATCTTTTTAATAAAGCCAGCCTAACATTTAGGAAAGAGTAAGCTCTTTAAATGGCTTTACATTTGGACCCTCAGAGTGTGTGTGTGTGTGTGTGTGTGTGTGTGTGTGTGTGTGTGTGTGTGTGTGTGTGTGTG